AATTTTTTGAAAAAGTGTTAAAAACCATTACACAACATAGTCGACATATGGTTGGTACGACTGGAACATAGTATATTGTCAGAGGTTACCCTACTAAAAATAAAATCAGGAATCGTCATGAATGGTCAGAATTTCTGAACATTCCTGAACAGTCTCACCACTTCTGACGTTTTCGAACGTTTCTCACCATTCCTAACCAAATACTTTCCAAGCTCCTCCCACTTTACTCCCACCATTTTCGAAGCTGTGACCATTTCTGAAATTCCTGACCATTTCTGAAATTCTTGACTATTTCTGAAATGTGTGAACACATAACCTATAAAAATTTTAGTACATCTTTCTAATTTTGGTAAAGTCTCATGAAAATTTATATATACATATAAAATCTTTCAAATTCAATATTGCATTAATAATTTATTATTATTATAAATTATAATGTTAAATTAAATTAATATTAAATACTAAATTCATTTTAAATGCAGATATAATAATAATTATTATTAATCTGTATTCGTAGTATAGTTTATGAAACATTCCAAATTGTAAAGTTAATACTTAATTTATTATTGATTCAATTAATAATGTTAATTTTTATTAATTCACATAACCTATTATGACTAAATTGAAATATAATTAATTAATAAAAATTATTTAACAGTTTATTCTGATTTATTGATAATATTGGTATTTGAATTTTACTATTTTACAGTTGCTCTTTATATAGACAGTTGAATCCAGAAATATGTAAGTCGGTTCGGTAGTCGCAGTCGTTAGGGCAGTTAGTTTAGGCACTAGGTTAGGTCATGCGTCGGGGTTCGATCCCCGTAGGGTCCAAATTTTAATTTAATTCCGGGAATTAGTTTCAAGTTGTTCCGTATGTAAACATACTGATATTAATTAATAAAATATATTTTTTAAAATTAATTTGTTGCAACTTTTTGCATATTGTTTAAATAAATAAAACAGAAGTGGCTTAAAAATATGGTCAAAAATGAGATACAAATGGTCTCAAATAGTCACCAATTATGGGCGGGGTCAACAAAGAGGAGGGGATAGTAGCAAACTTGTGACCACTTTAAACTTCCTCCTGATCAGTTGTGATAGATTTCTGACGAGATCCATCCAGAATCGTAAGAAAACTGGATTAAAGTGGTCAGGCGGCCTGACCATTTGTCTGACCATTCCTGATTTTATTTTTAGTAGGGTAACCTCATATTTTTTAGTGTTGAGAACACGAAAATTACAATAAACAAATGTAAAATTTAATTATGATGCAAAAGAAACATAAAAGTTATTAACTTATGTTTAAGGAATATTATTAATTTCAAATATACAGTTCAAATTTGTATTTTTTTGAGGTTGTGTGTTGTGCGATGTTGTCACATCTTCATGTGTTTTTGTGTTTGATATTTATACAATTACAGTAAACCCTCGTTAACACGAACTTGAAGGGACCGAAAAATTAGCAGTTCGTGTTAAAATAATATTCGTGTTATCGAGACATTCATAATAAATAACATAAAGTACCATAATTAATAATTTTGCTTTTAGGTTGATATTCGATTGTTTTCTTTCACTCATAGCAATGTAAACACTATTTCTTGTATTACACAGGCCAACAAAATTTGATTTAATTTACTTTCCAAGAATCAGACAATACTTTTCCGAAGGATTTCGACGTGCTGAATCCGAATCTGGCCTTAAAATAGACCCATCACGTCAGCTTTTCGAGATATTTTAACCTAAAAGTGCAAAAAACCTGTTTTTAGTTATATTTGATGTCATGTAACATCAAGTGATAATTTTTTATTTAAAAAGTCAATATTGCGTCTAAAAGTGCTACTCTTCCCCTTTAATATCCATTTTGAAAATTTAAAAAATGTTCATTTGTCTCTGAGTAATCGTTCATTGAATTTTTTGAGTTTGGCGAATTCTTCGAAAACTAAGTAGAAACACAAAACTTCGATAATAAAGCAGATTTTAACTACAAACATCTAAATTTTAAATAGTTCTAAGGATTTTCGATATAACTGAATACAAATTCGATATCAGATTAACAGAATTCAAAATGGCATATTTGAGGAAAATACAATCAATTTGAAATAAATCGTCTGCCATATTGTATACGCCATTTTGAATTTTGTGAATCTAATATCGAATTCGTATTCAGTTATATCGAAAATCCTCAGAACTATTTAAAATTTAGATGTTTGTAGTTAAAATCTGCTTTATTATCGAAGTTTTGTCTGTTTCTACTCACACGGAGAAACTTTTAATACCACTAATTCTTAAAACTGGTGAGACATTTTAGTATGTTAGGTTAGATTCAAGGGAAAAACGACATAGGTTATAGAAATTGCTATTGAGACTATCAAAAACACTCATTCAGTATATATTTTACAGTTCTTCATAAGGAAACTAACGAAAATTAGTATGTTGTTTTAGAAAGAAAATAATAATTTTTGCAAAGTTGGGAAAGCCATGAATTAAAAAGAAACACAACAAATTAATTGTCTATAGATACTCATAGAGACGATAGTGATACTTGGATCTGATGGTAGATGCCATTAGTGTACGACACTGTAACTGTAGGTAAATATATTTAACACGACGTAAGAACCTAACCTATATTATTAACGCACACACGGACACGCAAGTAAAGACACAACGATTGGTCACGGAAACCGAAAGATCGCACGATTCGTTAGAAGTACACAGCTGAATCGTCCTTATATATTAAACGAGTGGAAAAATATGTACCTTCGAGAGAGAGCATTTTTTTAAATAACTTTCTAATCAAATTATGTAAATAAGTAAAAGTCGTGAAAAAAATTATGTTATATTGAGGAACAGTTCTTGAATTTAATTTGGCATGAGGAGACATTCACGTTTATTAATAAAAGGTTTTTTTCTTTCATACACGTGTGAATTTCAACTTCGAAAACATTAGGGTTAGTTCGCGACGTCAGGTGATGGACTCGGTGATGCTCGGGCGAAATCGGTTAAGTCCGCCCGCAGTCCTTCCAAAATTGGTATGTTACGTTAGAATGTCTGTTATATATTCTATCTATATGTGGAAAAAAGGTTAGAATTACCGTATTATTTCACAAACAAAAACTAGCATTTTATTCTTTTCTAAAGAAAAATAAGACTATTTCTAATGCAGATAGTAATTTTTGTACACCGAAGGTTGCTTAATATATAACGAACTTATCATATTTTCGTATTAATGTTGAAATTATTAGCACAACGCACGAAAAATCCTCACATTCTAACGTACTTTTAGAATAAACATAACCAAATATATTTAATATTATAAGAAAAAGTTTCTCCGTGCAGTTTTCGAAGAATTCGACAAACTCAAAAAATTCAATCAACGATTACTCAGAGACAAATAAAGATTTTTTAAATTTTCAAAATGGATATTAAAGGGGAAGAGTAGCACTTTTAGACGCAATATTGACTTTTTAAATGAAAGAATTATCTCTTGATGTTACATGACATCAAATATGACTAAAAACAGGTTTTTTGCACTTTTAGGTTAAAATATCTCGAAAACCTGACGTGATGGGTCTATTTTAAGGCCGAATTCGGATTCAGCACGTCGAAAACCTTCGGAAAAGTATTATCTGATTCTTGGAAAGTAAATCTTGTCGGCCTGTGTTATTTGACGGAAATACGTTTTCATACTAATTGATCAAACGATTAATAGAATTATTACATTATCAAAAATATTTTAAGGGGTGGAAAAATATTTGGAACAAAGAACTCTAAGTGTGATGGTACCAATTTGTACGCGTTAACCGAGCTAAGAACGAAATGAGGACCCCAAAAACTGTTCGAGTTTCGTCTTAACCGGGTTTCGTGTTAACCGAAAACTAAAACTTTAATAATTATTTATTCATTAAATCTGTGGTAAACTTTCTTTAAAACTCTTCCAGTTTAAACTTTTTGACATTGTCTATCCATATACAAAACCACAGATTTTTCTCTTATTTCCTTCACACTTTTTTTCTAAGATTTATCTGAGCTCCCATAATGGCAAATTTATTTTATTTTTTTAAGAAAAAACTACGTGGTAAAAATTCTGAAAAAAATCGTATGTTTCTAAAATAATATAAAGATCAAACTGTCAAATTTTTATAATTTTCTCTCATTTTCTTATATTGCCGGTGACAATCCTTAATTAATTATTTGATAAATTGAACTATGCAAATAACAATACTATTACGCGACTATTACACGATATTACTTACTATTGCACAGCTATTACTCGGTAATACGCTATAATACTGACTATTACGCACCATTACGGGTATTAAATAGCTATTACCAGGAATGTGTACACTCCAATACGCAAGAAAATACCCCCTCGTTTTTAGTGTTATCTCAAAAAAAGAGCAGCTATGATTTTCGAAAAAATTGCAATTTATTAAATTTTATATACTTTAAAAGATAGCATGATTATTTTAGGGCACCATTTTGATAAGACTTAAATTTTTTGAGAAGAGGTGTGGGTAAGCGGGCGCAAAATATTTTGCGCCCGCTCTAAGTGCCCGAAATAACAAACTTTCCGTGCAGGTAGGACAAAAAAAGTTTGCTTAGCTTTTACAAAATTGGTAAGGAATTGCAAGGTAAAACCTATTTTTTTGCTCTTTAGATTATATTTTTCTTCACGCATATACTTTTTTGATATCAAAACTTGAAGATTTTAATAAATTAAAGAAAATTGCAATTAATTTGTTTGAAATGAGAATATCGATTGAAAAAGAAAATATTTTCCGGAAACGAATAATAAATGATTGTTTATAAACAAACTTGATACCCACATAGTATGTATATTGTTTTATGAATATTGGTCAGTGGCTCTCCGTGCATATGACCTTGTGCCAAGGAGTAAGGGAGAAACAAAAATTGAAGACGAAGAAGAAGAAAAATTGAAAAGAAGTAGGAGAATTGAGGAGAGGGAGTGGGAGGTACGTCCAGGAATCAAGTTAACATTACGCGAGCCATATAGCTTTGAAGCCTCACCTTCAGTCGGTTGAACACAGAACTCGCGCAATTCTTTAATCCAGAACAAATTAAGTTTTTCCAATTATACACACAAACTAATTTAGAATATAAATTTTCTCTTTTTTTCCACGCAGTCGACGCTGAAATTTCTCGTGTTCAGGATGCAGTGTATTTAATAATTACAACGCATTTAAAAAAAAGAAAATTCAAAGTTCCTGGTGATGACAAAATTTTGTTGAAGAAAGAAGAAAAAAAATTTTTTATAGAAAAATTTGTTACAAAATGATTTATTGTGAAAATGGAATAGTGCAAGATTTTAATACGAGATGAAGAGAAATGATTTGAGGACACGTGGTTTCTGTTTATTTTAAATGTGAGGGAAATGAGATTTCGAATGTGCACGTGTTATATCGAGACGTGCGAAAATTTTTGATGAAGTTGGAAAATTTATCATCTTTCTGGCCACTTAGATTTGAAATTGGTGAGTTTTTACAATTTTTTATATTTAACTTGATTCATTTAATTTTAGTCGATCTTTTTCACTCATAAGCTTTAAAATTTTAACAGATTATTTACAATAAATTTTAATATTATTTAATAGATTATTAAATTTTGCTAAAAATTTTATACTATTTTTAAATTTAAAGTTTAAGATTTTACATTTTTAAATAAGTTTCTCAGTTTTATTTGAAGTTAATTTTTTTTAAAAACTTTTTATTAAAAATTGAAAGATCCGAAATGAAAATTTGGGACTAAAATTTTGAGTTGGAAGTTAAAAGCTTTTTTGAATCATTTAAACTTCAAATAAAAAATTGTAGACAATAATTTTCCTTATGTTCAAATTTTGATTAAATGTTTAATTTTCAAAGTTAACTATTTTTGAGCCTGAAGTTATCTTCGGAGCGTGTCACAGATAATACACAAAAACACAAAAGTGTAAATTAATTGAAAAAAATTTTCAAAAATAATTTTCTGATCCCGTTGAAGAGTCATGTTTTGCGAATTGTTATTATACAATTCAGCGATTTTTCCACGCTCGCGTTCTCCGCAATGAAAGAGTTCGATTAGTGCCCCGGGTGATATTGCTGCGCGTTTAAATCACTTTCAAGCTCTTGTATAGTATACACTATATACATATATATATATAGAGAGAGAGAGAAAGAGAGAAATGTTGCATCCAAGAATATGATGAATCTAGGAAAACAAAACGGCAGTTTTCCGGACCTGTTACGTTTTATGATCCGCAACACACAATTGTATAATATCTGAATAAGAATTCGTACAATCAAAATACCAAAATTTGCAATTTTTAATTTATAAATAATTTTTCAATTTATTTTTCAATATATTTTTAATTTATCTTCTTTTTTGCAACTTTTAATTATAAATTCTTCTGCAATTTTCAATTATAATATATTTTTATATTATAAAAATTGAAAACAAAAAAGAGGATAAAAATTTAAAATATTAATTCCACCCCTTTTTAGTTAACGGTTTTTAATGATTGGCAGTTTCTTGATTCTTTCCTTTGTAGCATATTAAATTACATCTTTAATATTATCCTTCGTCTGGATCAAAAATAATTTTTTATACTTTTTGCTCTTTTTGAAATTTTAATAACAACGTTCACGTTTCTATTAGAAAAAATTAGAAAATTTATTAAAGTTATTCAAGATGATAAAATTTATAAAAAATTTACAAGTTATTCAATATTCATTTCTTATATTAATAGGGGGAGTGACACCTTTGTGGTCTTTTTTAAACCTGTTTTTCATGAATTTTTTTAAGGCACAGGAATAAAGTAAACAAAATTTGGTTTCGAGGACTTTATTTGCTAACTTTTTAAGTTTACCAAAATGTATTTATACTTAAAAAAGGTTTCAATTTGTTGCCTATAGAGGGCGCCAAAGTTGGTTTCGTTTCTCTGCAGGGCAAATCGGTGGACAAGATTCCAGCTGGACTGTTTAATCTAAATAAAAAATTTAAAGTTTTTCTGAATTTGTGATAGATTTAGCTTTAGAGTACGTAGGATATTTTAAAAATATCAATTTTTATGTATTTGGCAGTTGTTCGAAGGAAAAAGTCGACTTTTAGGGCGACATTTTTTCAAAAAATCTATTGCCAAAAAAAAATCCGATCCGATCAAAACTGTCCGAGCCAGACTATTCACCGTTTTAAAAAATTTCATTTCGAGAAAAAAGCAAAAAAAATCTGCCCGCCCTTCGGGCGGACACATTCTGATCCGCGCTTCGCGCGGGGCCATGAGTAGGCTTGAATAAAAAGGTATTGAAAATTATTTCATCATCAATAGGAAGACGAAAATTTTAAATACTTCTGAATTCCTTTTTTGTCCGCTAAATTTGAATACTTCTATTAAGTCAAATTCGTAATGAAAACGAATCCTTTCAATGCCCAAAGTTTACAATATTAGAATGAATACTTTTTAATCACTTAAAGTGGAATAAATTTGTGATCTATCTAATGCCTTTTAATTCCTTGCAAATAAAATGCTTGCTGGTGACAAAACAAAAATTGACCAATCAAAATCCAAGTTACTTGAGAAACGGATGAAAAAGAAATTAAAGTGGCTCATCTGTTCAAAGTGATTTTATTGACAGTTGTAATGTGCTTGACTTTGTAACTTGCAATAACTGGCGTCAACCGCGAGCTAGTGATGCACATGAGCGAGAAATGTCAAAAATGATTAAAAATGAGAATGACTCTTGTCTTTTTTTTATTTTTCTCGTCTTACCTCATTCTCATTATGCCAACTTCTCGAATAATCGAGAATTTTCATTATTCATTGTAAAAATAACCATATTGTTAAATAACAAATGAATTTTAACCCTTTTATTTCATTTTTTGCTTCAATATTCAATTGGATTCTCCTTTGTAGTTAATTTTTTACAATTAATATTGGGTAAATTAAATTAAAATAATAAAACTTAAATTTTTAGGAGTTAAGGCAATTTTATTATAATTTTTTAATTGATTTTAACTCTTTTTATTTTTTTTTTAATTTAAATTTTCTGTATTATCAAAAACTTTAATTTATATTACAAATACTTAAAAACATTTTCAAATAAATCCCTTTATTAAATTATTTGTAATTTTTATTATATCAATTAAATAACAAGTTTTCTATTTTTGAGAAACAATTTTTATTTCATTATTATTTAATGTTAAGTATGAATTCAATTAATCTGATTAATATTATTAAAGAAAAATCTATATATTAAGCGAATTCAGGCTTAACTGTATCGAAAGTAATTTTCGATAAGTTAAACTAAAAGACTTAATATTTATTCACCCCAAGATAAACGTTAAATTATTCGAAAAGTAATTATTATTTTCGAAAAAGTAGAGGATCCTCTTTTTAAGTATACTACTAATTCAGTACCTCCGATTAGACGGTATTTTATATTGAAAAGACATAAAAAGGAAAAGGTTGTATGTAGTTGTAGACACTAATGAGACACTTCAGTTATATGAGTAATACAAATATAAGTAAATTTCTTTAATTCATAAAACTTGAAAATTTATAAAAAAATCGTACAATACAAGAATATAAACTATCTTTAAATTATTTACTTGTATAAATCGTAGTAAATATAATTATGAAAAAATGCCCTTTTAATAGAATATAATTAATATAAGATTCTATACGAAGTTTGCAAACTTCGTTGTTGCCCTAGTAGAAAAATTTGGTGGCGCTAGCATGGTGCCACTCTCGCGTTCCATTGCGCTGTAGTGGCGCTGAGAGCATTTGAAACACTTTTTTAGTCTAGCGCCTTTCTCGCATTCTGCTCACAGTGCTAGAATGAACATAACCTCACCTGCCAATACTTTATTTCACGAATTAAAAAATGATTCCTATGTCATTTCTTTTGACGAATATAATTAAAAAAATTGTGTACACATAAAAAACATTTACTAATTATCTGCCTGCAATTAAATTTAAACGTATTTGAAGATAAATACACATTTCGTTTAAAGTTATGGTAATAGATTTTAATTCAGAAAACGGTAACCTATTCTTAATCCCAAGCCTAATCAAAATTTTGATCATTATTTGCTGTATAAAATTGTTTTTAAATATGGAAATTTTAAGAATAAATTATTATTAAATTTCCATAAAAAATTATTTATTTCTTCACAGTAACAGTGTCAAAAATAGTTACACATGTTAAACATTGAAATTAAAATTTTTGAAATTAACCAATTCTTTTATAATAATAATAATAATAATTGAAAAAATTAAGTTCCTATTTAAAATCAGTAAATCTTTTCTGCCCGGTCAATTAAAAATAAAGAAAAAATAAATGTAGTTTGAGGTTATGTTTTCTAATTCGAATGGAGAGAAATTAATAATATATTTGATCCATCAAAAAGTATTTATTGTTATTCTTGGTGATAAATCGTTAGATTAATTACTTAAAATATATTAAAAAAATTTCTTGGAGGTTGAATAAAGCTTCATATACTAAAAATTCTTTTATAAATAAGTGTATAAATTAACGAATGAACAAGAAATTTATAATGCAATATTAATTTATATTTAAATTTAATACAATTACAAATATATAAATACTTAGAATCCTTTACTATTATTGTTTTTAAATGCTACAATATTCAACAAGCAAACATTTACTTTTACTTTAAAAATAAAAGCAAACACCTTTGACAGTTTATGCAACAGAAATTTGAGGTTATGTTGCATTCTAGCAAAAAGTGCTCGCGCCATTCAAGGCGCTAGAAGACGTCGGTGAGATAAACTGCCATGCAAATTCCAGTGGTGGCGCTAGCATATATCTAGGCTTCCATTAAATTTTTCTACCTGGGTGCTAGGCAAGCTTCTTGCAAGCTTGCAAATTCCTTAAAATGGCGTGATATAGTTCAATACAATACAATTAATTGTAAGTAGTAAAATAAATGATCATGGGAAGGTGAAGAATTGAAAAATTCAATGTATCGTCAAAATTGCGACGTTTCGTTGGCTAAGGTTAGCCAACTTCATCAGGCAGATTCGTTAAAACATAAAAATCGCGTTCTAACTCGTCAAAATAAAAAAGATTTCATTGATTTCATTTGTATTGAGTACTTAATTCTATTTACAAAATTCCCAAATTTTTAATAAAATTATACGATAACAAATTTTTAATTAATGAAAAAATTAAAAATAGTTACGATGTCGTACGTAACATTTAAAAAAATTAACAGTGTAAATAATTTAAAATATAAATATATAACTTTTGAGTTATAAATAAATAAATTACAAAAGAAACATGATAATCATTTTCAATTTAAATTGCATTTTGAATCTTTGATGCCAGAGAACACGTTACCCAAGAAATTAAACACAATAGCTCTCTGGCAGAATTGTTTGACAATCGATTTCTGTGCTATCTAATAATTAACCCCTTAGCAGTGTAGTTAAAATAAGCTTTTCGTGACACAAATATGCAAAAAAAAAATTTTTTT